AAAGTCATCTACCTGTATTCCCTTGGCCCTATGCCCCAGGTCCTTCTCAGTCTTCCCCACCTTCCTGTACACAGTCTATGACTGAACCCTTTCCATGGTGAACATAGATGGAATAGATTCTTAGAAAAGTGCTTTTCATTAATTACCAGAATTGTTCAATAACAAGGTAAATGAGTTATTTCCAACAGTTCTTTCCATAACTACTACAGAGCAGTAAATTGGGTATCTGAAGATATTGTGTTGCTATATGATCTGTTTCAAATATTAGGACTGTTAGTTTTGAGTTACTCAAGTGGTATGTGAATAATTTCTTCTGTAAAAGCATAGGTAATGTAGATAAAATGAAGCCGCTCTCAGTGGCCCTCTGCTCCTCCAGTTCCACCCCAGACTGCCACTCTTTTTGAGACACAGATCCTTCAACTTTGTCTGAGTATGTATCCTACCTATTTAAACACTAATTACAATACCAACTTGCATGTGTGTATTGATATACAAATTATATAATAGTCGTAACTATATTGAATATTTATGGCTTACGTCTTCTGTTCTAATTTATATTGACTAACGTATGCTAATTTACAGCAATTCTGTGGTGTAGATTGCTACCATCATCATTTTAGACATAAGGAAACTGAGACATAACATGCTGACCAACTTGCTGCAGAATGCTCAAAGAATGTATGAGAGAACAGAACTTGAAATATGCGATCAGATTCTAAAATTGCCAACAAGATACATGTTCCCCTTGAACATTGTTCTGAACAATTTCTAGAGGGGAAACTGCTGTCCCCTGTGGTGTGGAATCTTTCTTTCAGTGTATCTTCCCATTCATTCACTTGGAGCACTTCTCTCCCTTTCTGGCTTGAGACACGGCCAAGCTAAACAGGGCTCTCCTTGTGAACCCTTTCTCCTTAAGCCCAAATAACCAGACATATTACACCAAGAAGCGTGTAAGTAATAAGTTCCTTCAACAGAAAAATTAGCTTGAGTGTTCGTAGGACTCCTTCCTTTAGCCTCTTCAGTATTTGCTCACGTCTCCTTGTGAGAGACCATTCTTGAATCTCTGTTTACACCTTCACACTGTGCTCCCTTTCTGCTCTACTTTTTCCACCCAATGCTGTTGCCAGATGTTATTTTCTGTTTCTCTTCCTCTAACTCAAAAGCAGAAATTTCTGTTTGGTTTGTTCACTGGTATAATTCCTGTACATAGCAGTAGCTGGCCCAAAGTAACTATTAAAGAAAAATCATTTAATGAGTGAATAAATAGTTCTCTGGGATTCATCAAAATGTAAGTAATTCAAACCAATGAAAGGAATACTAAAAAGCCAGGCATAGTAGAGCATGCCTTTAATCCCAAGACTCAAGAGTCAGGCAGATCTCTGTGAGTTTGAGGCCAGCTAGGGCTACATAGTGAGACCCTATCACACACACAAAAGAGAGAGAGAGAAGAAATAAAAAGAATTAATACAATACAAAGCTGCTTATGGTAAATAGGTCCAAAGGTTTCAAAGCTTTACCGTCAACTGCACCAAAATAGAAAAGTTAGTCAAACAGCAATCAAATTACTTTAAAAATTGAGAATATGAATTATACAAGTCCCAAATAAAGTCCCTTTTGTTCAGTAAACCATCTGTTTTCCAGATAATCTAGTGTATCACTGACTGCAATGCTTAACCAAGAATGGAAACACCAGTGCACAGCACAGCATCATTGATTCAATGCTCTGAACTAAATCAAATTACTGTTGAGATAATGGTGATAGCTGTATCAAAAGTGATCACTGTTATTGTCAGTACCTGGTCAGAAATAACTGCATCAAGTTTCAGGGGCTGCATATGGTTTGAAAAGTACCACAGCTAAGAAGCTTATATAAAAGTTTCTTTGTGGGTCATCTTTCATAAGGTAACAAACAGCATGTTTACTGCCTCAACATGTAGGAGGAGTTAATGGAGTTTAAAACACCTCTCTTCCATTTGACTGTAATTCAGATTCTGATAGTTCAGATTTGCATGGTTCAGATTTGTCATTATTAGAACTGCTTTTAAGCAAAATATGCTTGCTTGCAAGGGTATCCGTAATCCTGGAGTTTTAATTTTTTTCTGAAGTAGGACTACAATATGCTTCTCTTCAGATAAAGAATTTGTAGGCTATAGATTTGTCCCTATCTGAATATGATTAGCAGAAGATAAAATAATTTATGAGCTGAGTTAACAAAAAAGTGTGCTGAGTTGGATTTTGTTAAACTAATATCATAGCTGGCAAGGATGACATGTCAGATATTTCATTCATTTTAAAACCAAATCATGTCAAAAAAATCATTTTACAATTTTAAATACATTACACATGTACAATACCAGGAGAGGATGTACTGGAATGTTCCAGACACATCCATTGGCCTCCCTACATCCTGTGTTCCATTTCATTCTGATTTCATTTTCCCAAAATGAATTTATCATATTATCTTGTATGAGCTGTTCCATTGAGTAATTTTATTCACCTAGTCTTGCTTTCTGGTGCTCTTATGCTTATTTGATTCTTCCTTCTACATGTATCTTTAGGCCCCATGAATACTATCAGAGTGTTCATTCAAAATAAAAAAGAATGTCCTTTTACCTAGCTTCAAGGCCTAAAAACTATATAAATGGCCAGCACAGCAAATGACATTGGTGCAGCAGTGGCACTTTTATCTTGGGGGTAATCAACAAATACTTAATTGGACTTAAAATCCACTCAATGGAAGGAAACTCAGGTGTGGTACTGTAAACTTAGCCAAATAATTGTAGCTGTAGAGGTCATAGATCTTAGGGAAAACCCTGGCTGTCACATCTTTAGGCAAATGTAATTTCTTACTGTGTGCAAAATATGGAGCCTTTAAACTTACAGACTGTGGGTCCTTGGACAAGTTTTTTATATTAAAATCTACAAACCGGGGCTCAGGACCATTACAGAAGCGGGGGCAGAAAAATTATAAGAACCAGGGAGGAGGTATATGACTGTACAGAAGTAGAGTCCTACAGGCTCCTTGGACTCTTCTCATATGAACCTACAACAATGGTGTTAGCATGCTCAAGTAGGGAAAAACCCCAGCACAGAACTGTGGAAATGGACACCAGGCCCCAATCTTAATTGAAGAATTATTGGCAGCTGATTATTTCTGGATGAGAAAGAGCTGATCTTCATAAAGGAAGGGATTCTAAGTAGGCTAACCAGATAAACTTTCACTGAGGAATGTCTGGGGACACTCACTTGATTTGATAGACCTTAACACAGGTGACAGAATGTATGAATTCTACTGGGGAGAGTTATGAGAGGGCTTCAATAGGGAAGGGGCTATAAAGATGATTCAGATGGTATGTATGAAATACACAAAAATTCAATAGAAATATTTTTAGAAAGTAACATCCTTTTAAAGAATGTCTGTTGATATAGGATACAAATAATGTATTATACAGAATGCCCTCACGGCTGCTTAGCATAAACAGTCCTGAAGCAAATGTATTGACTAAGACAATGTGTTGTGTTTTAGAGCATTTAAGGTTGCATTTCCTTGCTATATGAATGCGATTCTATCTCTTTTCTTTCTCTTTCCTAACTCCTCCCTGTTTAACAGCAGACAAACCCAGGGAGCCTTGAATGAATCCGATGATCCTGAAACAGGCTGTCTAACTGATAACAAGCCAACTTCTCGACACTTCTATCCTGTCGCCTTGCTGCTTGTCAGCTCGCACCTGCTAGTTGTGTGGCTTATTTTAAGTCTTGCATTACTATTAGCCAAATACCAATAAGTTTTATGTTCTTCTGTTCCTTCATTTTCTACAAACAACAATGGACTTTCAATTATGAAACAATGTTGTAATATTTCTACATTTTCAGATTCACAGAATTTAAAAAATAAATGTTTGAATTGTGTTTTTGTTTGTTTTCCCCCAAACCCAAAATGCCCAAAGTACTATGCATTATGTGAATTATTTTGCTCTTTTGTTAATGGAAAGATGTTTTCCCACTGTTAACTAAAGAAGAATTTTTAAATTACCCTCTTTGGAATAAGACAAAGAATAGAATCCTGAAAGCTTGAAGTTCTGAGCCTCCTCTTCCCATTAAATTTATTAAAGAAATTATGATTGACTTTGCACAACACAGAGAAAACCCTAGGATGGTTCCAGGGATGTGGGAGGTACAGACTTTATTTTCACTGTGCTAATAACATAGTTGCTATCTGCTGATAGAAATTTCTGTTGTTTTCCATGTCATTTGGTTTCATTGTTGCACTTAACCCTCTTGTGCCAAGTAATCTTATGGAAAGAATGGCTATTTATGTTTTGTAATTAAATTAACCTGTTTGTAACTATTGTTTTGGTTGATTTGGCTTTCAGAGTACTTTTCTATTCTTTTTAATATGGTCTCATTTGTGTCTTGATGCTCCATTTTTAGCACCTGTGACTTTTGTACTGTTGTGGCCGAGCACTCTTCTTTCACAAAGCTGAGGCTCAGAGCAGGCTGTTCAGAAAGCCATTTTCTCTCTGCATTGCACAGCTAAAATAATGAAGTAAAATAGGGGTGAAACTTTCCTTTATAAATCTATAGGGCCAGACTTAATAAAGTAAATGCCTTATTCTAGAACCTGCATCCTTAGGGCTACATGTAGATTTTAATGTGTTTTAAGAGGCAAGTTAATTTGTGAAAAAGTTATAAAAAGGCAGATATATTTATGAACTTTAAGTAAAGCTGTATTGTGGAACAAATTATATTTAAAGAGTTTATTAAAAGTTAAATATCTGTTAAGAGCAAAGAGGCTTAATCAAATCTTTCCGAAGGCAATAATGGTATTGGGCCTGGCCTAGGATTTAATTTTGTAAGATGTATCATCACTTGTGAAAAAAATGTAGAGTTGAATCTTTGTTATTTTTACTGGGACTGTTGCTGCAACTCTGCATTGAACAAATAAAGCATATTTATTTATTCTGTGTTTCATGAAGTTGTGCTTTTTCCCCTTTCACCAGAGAAGGATGCCGCATAGAGAATGTACTGAAGAATATCAAATGCAGAAAATATGCTTTCAACATGCTGCAGCTGATGGCTTTCCCCAAGTACTACCGACCTCCAGAAGGGACTTATGGAAAAGCTGACACCTAAGTTTACCAACATGTAAATACAACAGGAACACAAACACATTTCAGTTGGATGATCTCAACCTTGGTCTTTTAGAAACGTTTATTGTTATCAGTTTGGGGGAGGATGTGCTCATGTGTGTGCACTCAAATCAAGGAATTATTTCAGTAGTCATAAGTTTATAACTCTGAAAGAAATGCAGTTTTGAAATCTTATTTTGCATTGCCATTTCCTGTCTATTTGTGCTCACCCTCAGTGGATGAGGTTAGTTCAGAAAGTATGGATTTCATTTGCAGAGTACCTAAATGAAACATGTCCTGAGAAAAGAGATGTCTTCCATAGTGCCAGAGTTGACTCGGAGAATGCTAGGCTCCATCCATCAAAGCTGAGGAGAGGAGCAGGCAGTTTATGTGATGTTACTTCAAAGTCTCCATTACAGAAAACCTTACTGCACAGCTTCCTGTACTTTATAAAATCTTTATAGCAATTTCAATTAGGTAATGTTAACTCATGACCTTGATTTTTGATACAGTTTGCAGATAATGTTTGTACATACCTTTGTCATCCAGTCCAGATGACTCTGCCTCAAAAACAGTTAAAGGGACAGTATAATAACAGCAGCGAATATACCTATCAAAACCTTGGGATCTTATTAAGAAATCTGATTTGAGTTGCACAACCCAACTATGGACAAGACAGCCCAGAACTTTTAATAATATAGTAGGCAAAATACTTAAAGTAATTCAAATTGCAAGGGAATTAAGGATGAAATTAAAGATGCAGACAGCTACTGCTCCAAATGAAAATCTCATCAACTTGGATTTCATGTGGAAAAATTCATGAGAGTGAGAGAAATATCTTTGAGGTGTTTCCCAGCTGTCATCTCAGTGTGATTTTGCAGTCTGACATAGATCAGTATGCTTGAAGTGGAAAACCTTTAACACATGTGCAACCATAAACAATGAAAAATTAACATAATAATTTTAGCTAATTTGAATTTCAAATTTGTCATTACAGTAAAATAGCACCATATGTAAGATTTCTAGCTTTCCAGATTAGTAGATTCCTTAGAGATCATATTACATATTACCAACATTAGAAAATGGATAAATTAAGGCAGATCACTTTAGAGGTTTGCAGAATCACAGTTGCAATCTCACCTTATGACTATTTTTAAATTTTTTCTGTGGTTTCTTTAGTCTCCAAGTTGCTAGACTATGTATGAAAATTAAGAGAGGAGAGTTAAAGATAATTAGAATTCATTACTGGAATTGAAATTTCAGAGTAAAGAAATCTGAATAGCTCTATTTTCTTTCCCCTTTGCCCCAGTGGCATCCAGAGAGTGTTACATTTCTAGAAATCCTAGAGGGTTCTTAAACAGATACCTCTTAGCTGTGACTACATTCAAAGGGTGACAGTAAAATCTTGATAAATAAGATGATAACTGCTTGTCTAAGATCTTTCCTTATTCAAGTAAGGATTTCAAACAGATCTCTAGGCCAATGGAGAGCTTTTCAAATGGATACAAGTAGAAAATAATCCTCTGAAGCTGTTCTTGGTAGAAGCATCAATTTGTTATTTTTCCTAATGACCTATGTTCATTATTGAAGTAGTTGCCAAACTTTTATAGCCCTTTAAATAAAGACCTGGGTCTACACATGGGAACAGCTATCTTGAAATACAGCTATCACTATTGAATCTCACACTCCATTTCAAAAATATAATATAATGTTTGAAAATTTTATTTTATTTCAAGATGCTAGAATTTTGGGCTAGTTTTATTGATGAATTAAATTCAAGATAAAAAAGATTTGAGATGGCAGATTCTGTTTAGTATATTAAGTGGTGGTGTAGATTCCAGGAGACCTGATAAGATTTATCAGCCCATGAATATTTTATAAATATTGATTTTTGTTTATATCTTTTAAATTAAGCCTCTTAAATATTGAAAAAAAATATCTGAATAGCCAGTAGCAGGGTTTTCCAATTTTAGAAGACATTTCACAGATCTTTTATTCCTTTGTCAACAAATTCCAATATAGAGACACAAAGGGCAGATCTTAGTATAAGGCAAATGCAAATGAATTTTCACTTTTTATCAGCAGCATCATCAGCATTTCCTTATAAAAGCTTAAATTTGTGCATCCTTCCAAGAGAGAATTTCACTAAAAAAACACATTTCCTAAACCTTATTGCTGTTCTCCTGATAGTCCAAATATATTCAGACAACCACTTTATGATTAATCATTACCAAGGCTTTCAGAAACAAATATTAAACAGCCTATTTTAAAAATCTCCCTGTATAGCCTTAGCCATGGCTTTCCATCTTCGTCTCATTTCAGATGGGTACAGCAAGCAAAGCCGAGCAGAGCATTTTGAGCCAAATAACCAAGAAAATAGCATTTTCAGACAATTTAGCATTTTTTTCTTTCTCACCAATATTTTTTTCCTTTTCACAAATTCAAATATCAATTCTTGATCAATCATTTGCAGAGCCCTAGAAGAAAATTATTCAAAGCACAAAAAGACACAATATGGATTATGGATGATGCAGTAAATGAACGTCTAGGGTATGAAAATGTCCCCAGGACAGCTAAAACACATATTTGAAATATTTAATTGAAGCTGAGCTACACTTGTGTGCATTCACTCATTAAATTCTCATCTTTGTTTTACTTCTTAAGTATTACAGTGAGCTTTGCGTACATACTGCAAAACTGTCTTCTAGATGCAAATAGTTTGGTCAGTCTGATAATCCAAGGGTTCCCAACAACCATCTGATGCAGGTAACAAATTATACTAAAACTACCACAGCCTGGTCAAAGTATTGCTTCATTTTGCTGATCTTCAGCATGTCATAATTCTAACACTTCTGACAGACAATGAAGACTTGAAAGTTAACACTGACAGGAGGATCATCCCTATTTTTCTTATTTTGTGTTTTTCATAAAATAAGACTCAAGATGAAAAAGGAAAAAGAAAACCATTGTGATTTTTGTAGGGCCATGATTGTCTCCTTGAATAAATCAAATCCCTCCCTATTTAAAGATGCTGTGCCAAAAGAGACATGTCCTCTGGTGTGTCCTAACAGTTCTATTGATTCCTGGGAAATGGTCATGACTTTTATAAGTTAGCTTCTACAAACGCTCATGATTAAACATTGTTATTAAATAAATTGGATATATTTATTTAAAAGTAGAATGACAAGTAAAGCTTATTACTTCCTAATTATTCTACCAAGTTTTGCTCTTCATCCCTGGATGATTTTAGCTGATCTGTTTTGGCTTTTATCCTCTGTAAGGAATCCTACTAGTCTATAAAGTATTTTGAACACTTACATTTTATTCAGAATTAAACTATTAAGTTAGAGGGATCAGTTTAAAGAGCAATCACTAATGTGCTGAAGGAGATCTTAGCAACACAGCCTTAGTATATGTAACAACTCTGGACTAAATTCAGAGAAATGTTAAATTCACCAGAATATCACTGAAAATATGATTCATTGCCAATTTTAAAAATGATAATTATGGCACTTGCTGAAAGTAGGTAAAACAGTAACATATTACTATGCCCATTGTCTAATAAATGAAGCCCAGATTAAACCCACTGTTGGATGAAATAAATTAAATGCTGGCAGTAGGCTAGGGCACCACAGATTTTATAGGAGTTTGATTTCCAAGCAGGATGGTGTTCTATTTTAGTTGAGTATAAAGGACTCATTTTGAAGTCTTTCAAGAAATAAATGAACTTATAACACACATTTAAGAAACTGGTCTGTGAGAAACTGTGGTCAGCAGTTGTAGAAGGAAGCAAGCATGTTGGTCACAAAGCATCCTTAATAGCTAGGACCTTTATAAATTATACACTACTCACTACTAAAAAAAATAATTTGCTATGAATTTGCATATTTGATTGACAATTTGTCATAAGTTCACATTCATCTAGCTTGCCTGAAACCTGTGTAAGTTACAGCCCTGCTATTTATGCTTTTATATTTTTAAATTTACAGTTCCAATATATTTTATCTTTTGTTTCTTTGGAAGCTTGAAATCAGAAAATCTCACGCAAATATGTTTCCTGTAGCAAAAGGGTTTTAAGAAATGAAGATAAAACCAAGGTTTTATATAAAATAAGGCAGACCAGTTAATATGGAGTTAAGAAACAGTAATTCACATTTTGTCTCCCCGAGAAATGTTGCACTTTAATCACTTTTAATTTTAGTTCTAAGAATATAAGAAAAAGTCCAACATACGCTTATTTAAAAGGAACAGGCAATCTCTAGTTATTTAAGGCAAAGAGAAAGTGAAACACAAGGTAAAATTAATTCCCAAATGGAACATGTACTTGGATTTCCTGGACTTGTTTTTTTATCCAAACATCCGTAAATATTTAAAGAACAGGCTCACAGTTTAGCACACAGGTAGTAACTCTCAGTATAAAGAAGGTCTAGTACATTTAAATGATTGTCTAAAAAGCCAAATGTCATAAATATAAGCTAGTATCTATGTTTTTTAGTAAAAATGGTATTGAAAAAGGAAAATATACATTTTTCTGCACTCCTAGAATTAATGCATTCACTATATCCCTAGGATAATTTTAATTGTTCCCATGTCATAAAGGGCACAATTTAGCAGTCCATCTTTTGTGGTGACTTACTGGGGCAATGTTACTAGTAGACCCTCTAGATTCTTAAATTTGGTCAAGATTGCTCCAATATCTTTGCAGTTTTGGGAATAATTTATGTCATTATCAACATTAAAACCTACTTTATATTAAAGAGTTAACACACTTTCAAAAGGCAGAGTGCATATGTCCATAATTGTGTAGACTTTCATTTCTCTGCACACATGCTAACATTTGTGCACATTTTCTTACATGACATGAACATTTTAACATTTTATTTAATGTATCCTGATATTCTTGTAGAGTTCGTTTGACACTTGTTTGCTTTTCATGTTAAATATGTATTCTAGATAGATGTATAATGTATAGTCATAGGAAATGAGCCACAAATAGATCATTTTTACTGGCATTTGAAGAAATATCACATTTGTTTTATTTTATGTAAATCATATTCATTGTGCACTGTATGTATATTTTTGTTGAAATAAATGTGGTTTTATTTTTTAGGTTTCTGTCTTTCTGTCCTTGTTATATATTAGTTTTCATCTTCATCCATGTAACAACATTTAAACATTAATGATAATGAAAATATCCAAATGCTAGCGTGGATAGCGTTTCAAGACTAGACTGATCTTCTGCTGAACCACAATTACAGTGCACATTTTACACCAATAATAGGTGAGTCTCATTTTGACTGGCTAAGTGAACTTATTACAGTCACTATTCCAGTGAGGAAAGCTCAAGTAAAACTCCAAAAAGGATTCAAGAATTGGTACAATTACTGTACTCTGTGAAATCCAGCAAACATTTGTTTTAAAAAATATTTATTTATCTATCCTACTGAATCCAATTAGAGCTGCCCATATGCACATGAGCATTATGTCATCCACTGAGATCTGGGGCGCAGACCAGTGGCCACACTCTTAAAGAAAAGTGGCTCTCTCTGGTCCATAGCTATCAACTGAGCATAGCTCCTCAACAAGGTAGAAAAATCATTCATCTTTCTTGTCAGGATTAAATGTAGTGTCATTTGAATATGTCAACCTATTTTTTTCTTATAGACTATTTGGAGCTGGTCATTTAGGGTTCTTTATAACAGTTAACAGTAGAAGACAAATTCCAAAGACTTAATTTAGATCTTGTAAAAGGGGAATGCAGCGAATGAAGCCCCTAGGGCTTATGATAAGAATGAACTTTTACCATCTGGTATATTTCAAGAACATAGCTGACATGGCAGTAAGAATGAATATTGCCCTTTAGCCGGATCGTCATCCTCTATGTGCTCTAACTAATATGTCTTTCTATATCAGAGCAGGAAATATGATGGAGGTAGACCCAGTATAAAAGAGCACACAGTGTATTACAGCGAAACACTGGCCGTGAGAACCGCCCAAATGAAACATAACTAGCCTGTTGTCCTAAACATCCATACAAAGACTCCTTGATTCTTAAAAGGAATGAAATCCTCAGAATCAGAATACCATAAAGGGCTCAGAACAGTTGCTCTGGGCACTGTTTGATGTGATAAGAGAATAGATTCAGGAGGATGAGTGTGTCCAGTTGGAGCTGGTTAAGCCAGCACTCCTGAGCCACTGTGGCTCTCTCCACCTGTTCACTTAACAAATCTCTGAATTTTCTCATCTCTTGGTGATTTTGATAAAGAGTGGCTCAAGACTAAATGTTTCAATGAGCTTTAGGTATAAATAGGAAAAGATGGGGACAGTACCTTTGATTGGACACCAGGAACACCATCCTGCCTGTTAGCAGCTGTGCTTTACCTGCTAATCCATAGCACTTTGTTTTTCAAGCAGCCCCTAATTTCAGAATAAAGAACAATGTTGATATTCACCTGTTTTTGAGATGGGATGATGGCTTCTCTACTCTTCCTTTGGTTGTAACCCCCACCTCTTTATGACAGCTTACTTCTGTGGTGCATATTCCCAACACTCTTAGTTCCTTTCTTATTGTCCTCTGGTCTCAGTGCCTCTGCCTTCTGTATCTATTTCATTCACTTAGGAATTATTCCTGGGATCTGGACTCAGAATTCTTTGTAGCTCAATTTGCATGCTCTACATCAAGGCACGCAGCTGTTTTTTCTAAGGAGAGAACTGTACAAAGATATGCCTGGACAGATAGAAATCATCAACCCCCTGTTTGTTAGATGAAGGCATATACCAAGTTACCTAATGTTTCATTGTCTCCACATTCTTGAATATAACTTGAGGGCAATAGAATTACTTACACCTGGTAAAACGTGAGAAACGCATGTTTCTATGTTCAGTGAGTCTGGTGCAGAAGACCAACTGCTTTACAGTCACTCAGCATCCAGCCACATTGTATTTCACACCCCTGCAGTCCAAGTACCTGAAATATAAGGGCTAACATACTAACACTTTTCTGATGTTCTCACCAAGAAATTTCAGGATATTATATAGGTGCTGCCAACAATATCCACTTATACCTCGTTTGGAAGGCAGAAAGGAGCAGGAGACAGCCAGTTGTTCCTGTGCCCATTTGGGCACACAGTCCTATTGCAGTTGAGCACTGGCAGCAGTGGGATCCCCATATTTGTTGTCAACTCCCCAACCTCCTATGCAGGGTGACTGTGACTTCAGTACCAGCAGAATGTATTAGAAAAGAATTCTTGACTGCTACGTGACATTGAAGCCATCAAAATTCATTTATGATGTAAGATTCTCCTATTTTTCCAGTGATTTTATCAACAGCTTATTTCTCTTTAAAATGTGCAAATAATTTAATGTTAGGAATGACTGGATTCTAGGTCTTATATTGATCCCCAGTATCCTCGGTCTAGAGTTCATATCCAATGAACTTCGCTTTGATATCTGTTGCTGACTATTGCATTTATCTTGGATTTTTTAAAAAAATTATTTGTTTAATAACCACACAATCAGAAGAAGCATTTCACTACAACAGCATTGACACATTTAATAACAATTTCCAGAGCTAAGATGCATCTCCTTCAAAATTGGCTGTAAATTTTTAGGTTTACAGTTGAATTAATACAGTTATACAATATTGTACCTATAAGACATAAAATTAAATGAGGTTTTAAACTTTAAAAAAGATCTCCATTTCACTATTAAAACACACAGTTTCATACAGAAAACTGTGCATCTTAGTGTCAATTGTATTGAAAATGAAGTTATCTTGGATTTTTAAAGCTGGATTTGGGCACTTCCTTTCAAGTATCTGCTTGCTATAGATAGATGATGATAGATAGATGATAGATGATTCATAGATGATAGATAGATAGATGATAGATAGATAATGATAGAGATAGATAGATAGATAGATAGATAGATAGATAAATGATAGATTAGATAGAATATGTTTTAAGATATAAATAATTCCCTGCCTTGCTCCCAATTTACACTTACCCCTCCAGACAATGGGATCAATATAGTTGTCACAAAGACTTGGGGCTGGAGAGATGACTTGGCAGTTAAGAGTACTGACTACTCTTGCAAAGGACAAAGGTTCAATTCCCAGCATCCACATGGTGGCTAACAACCATCTGTAAATCCAGTCCCAGGAGAATACAATGCCTTCTTCCTGTGCAATGCCTGACTTCCACGGGCATTGCACAACATGAGTGCATTTACATGCATGAAGGCAATACACTCATACATATCAGGTTTTTTTTTTCAAAAGGACTCATAAACTTGAGTCAGCTTTGAGTTCCTCTCTGTTAACATGAAATATTCCTTTTATCCCTAAGGTTAGCAAATATTACCAGCATATAACCTTGTCAATATTACCTCCTCCTTCCATTACCAAAGAAATTTCTTTTATATGTATCTTCTGTCACCCCTACAGGTATAATTCTTTCCAAACTAAATGAAGTTTGTTATTCAATCAATTCTGCAATTTAGCCTCACTTTCCCTTTAAGGCTTATTTTCCACATACTTCTGCAGTAGAAATATCTGAACAAAATGCATTTTCTTACACACACACACACACACACACACACACACACACAAAACATATACACACACACACACGCTCTCTCTCTCTCTCTCTCTCTCTCTCTCTCTCTCTCTCTTTCTCAGGTTTGCTCCAAGTTTAGCTCCTTCCTTTTCAGTATTCTCAAAACTACAGTTCCAGGTTAAACTTACACACTTTTTATCCAAAGCAATCTTACAATATCCCTTTCAATAGAATAAGTTTCCTCTGTTTTCAGTTTTTCTATATCATGCCCTGTATAATTCATTTCTTTCTATATTCATTGATTATTGTTTTATTCAATATGTATTTTATGGCACTGGAAATAAAACACAGATCCTCACAAATACCATCTCTACCACATAGCCACAGCCAGCACATATTTTGAGCATCTGTGAATCTAGCATTGATTTAAATCCGGCATCTTTAATGATAGACAAGAGCTGTAATTCTTCTATTAATAGAACTTACAGTTTAGTGAGGGAATCAGATAAAAAGAAAATCAATAGTGTAATGGTAATGGACA